CAAGGAACGCATTATGGGCGAAAACTGCGCTTTTGAGGCGAACTGAACAAAACAAGAAGAAAAAAGCCGGTACTCTGCGTATGGATGGCGAATGTCACGAGCCATGGTGGGCGCGAGACAGCTTTGAGGGCGAGGAGGGAGATGGACTCCGTTGGAAAAATGATCTGTGCGGGACTCATAGGCTTTATAGCTACAGCACAAGCCATAGCACTTGAAACACAAGAGTTGCGCAGTCAGCACTGCCAAATCTGTCACATAAACAGTGTTATATGCAAATTTTTACTAGCGGGAAACTTTGGCTAGCAGGAAATCAGTATTTCTTGTATTGGCCAACGACACTCACAAACTTACCACACTCATATCAGTATGCCGCCCAGCATCATGTCATCTACTTTGCGCAGCCCAAGAAACACATTACCTACTCCCACACTAATGCATTTATGAGCAGCCTGCAACAGTGAGCTAAGCTACAGAAATGACTCATGAATGCTATATAGTTAGTGGCAAAAATTGTGTAACTATGTTGTCTTTCCCCATCCAATGCATCATCAGTACCTGAGGGCAGCATTGCCATTTAGACTTGGCATGGACTGGCAAGTCAGAATGCAGCTATTTGCTTTCTTGACATACTAGGGTTGAAATACTGCTTTGATATCCTTGCAGTCAACAGCATTGGCTGATATGGACTGATGGCTAGGTGGCACAAACAGCTGTGTTCGCACAGTCCAAAGATCATAACATGTGAACCAGCCCCAGAGCTGTCATGACAAATGCAATCTGGGCTCAAAATTCATAACAAATGATTAATTATAACGACAGCTCAATTATCCACCTCATGGTTTGCAAAGATACATGTCACAAAAAAGCACCAAGGTAACATATTTACTCACCAGTACAAAAACAGGTAATGATGTGCACCACAGATGTTCTCTGCACCTCATGTGGCATTATGTTAGGTTTACTTAGTTTATGCACTGTTTTCTTCCACATGAAATGCACAAACCTGGATTTGACAGAGTACTGATGACAGCTATTTTTATCCAGTGCTCACATTTGCTTTCTTGACATTTTGGAACCATCACTGGGCAATTTTGGCCCCATCATTAAAAATAGTTCACATTCTGCACTGACTGCAATGATCTATTGCCTATATTTGTTGATCCTTTGCATCATGCAAGAATTATTGAGTTACCTATCTCACACACACTAAACCGACAAGCAACAAACAGCCTAATCGCATCAAAAACAAATATTCCAGCCCCCGCTTCCTTAACATTTGGTCTACCAGTGTGATGTAGCTTCATATTTCCTTGACGAGCCAGTCACCAATATCCAGCACATCCCTCCTGCCAATAGGTGGTCAACCAAATGTTCAAGTCACAGGAGGAATGTCTGCAAAATCAATCCTGGGGCATTTATGTATTCACTTAATGCAAGAAACTATTGGTACTCCCTGCAAGAATTGTTGAACAGTTCAAGTACCTACCTCATGGCCTGCAGACACCCATCACAAAAAAGCACCAAGGTGACATATTTAATCATCAGTACAAAAACAGGTGATGATATGCAACACAGACGTGTTCTCCATGCAGCATGTGCCATCACGTTAGGTGTTAGTTTATGCACTGTTTTCCTGCACATGGAACACACAAACTTGGATTTAGCAGAGTAATGATGACAACTATTTTCATCCAGTGTTCACATTTGCTTTCTTGCTGTTCTGACCCCGTCATTGGGCAATTTCGGTCCTACCATTAAAAAAGTTCACATTCCGAGCTGACTGCAATGATCTATATTTGTTCATCCGTCATATCATGCAGCAATTTTTAAGCTACCTTTCTCACACAAATTTAACTGACAAGCAACCAGCATCCTAATTTAAGGAACATCTGCAAAAACACTCCTGGGGCCTTTAGGTATTAACTTAATGAAAGAAACTTGGAGGCATTCTCTGCAAGAATTTTGAGCAATCCAAAAATTAAAGTGAGAACAAGTCAAAGCTATATAAAATGACCATATTACCTCCATTTGGCTTTTGGAAGCAGGGAGCCTGCCCCAGATGTAAATTAATCTAACCTTTAGGCGGAAAGATAACACCAAGCACCGCCGACGCCTGCTGTCTGCATAGATCACGCGCCTAGCAAGGCTAAATTACGTGAGGATTTCTGTGCTGCTAGCCACTCAAGGCCCTCAATAATAAGGGTAGTTTTAGCAGCATGGTGTCAACTTCACCTTCTTTCTCTTTTCCTTTACCATCTTGGACTTGGACCGTCTCGAGCAATAGCTAAAAACCCGTGGAAAAGCGGCAACACCAAACGAAGCTGAAATGGCCATGAACAGAACTGTGTGCGCCAGGCATTTTTCTTTTTTTTTGTTTAGACAGCTGACGGCCGATAATTCGGACGAAATCCCTTCCTGAACGGATGATCCTCTCACGGGAAGGGATTTCCTCCGGCGCACGATTCGAATCAGCGGAACGGCGCGTGAGTGTATACATGGGCCGGATAGTTCGGATCGAGGACGGGTCCCGGCTCAATTCGAATCACAGCTGCCCATGTAAACAGGGTAACTGACAGGGGTATGATCCACACAGTGGCGTTCACCCCACACAAGACGCGAGAGTTTAGAAGCACAGCATGATCTCGCCATAACATAAAACACAGCGGCCGGGCAACTTCGGCCGGGAGCTCCTGAACGGCACAGGGAGCAAACCTAACGACATCCCCGCCGTCGACAGCACTAGCCACCGTTAACAGCCGGGAAACTGCGCTCGACGGCGGCCGCCCGGGCGGAAACGCTCGCTCACGCGCCTGCCGACCTCCGGCCTCCGGGCCTCGGGCCTCGGGCCTCGGCTCGGGCTGCCGCCCGGGTGACGGACTGGTCATTTCCGGACCGGTCGACCGTCGGCCACCTCCCGCCGACCAGCCGGTCAAGAGCCGGTGGCGCCGACCCGAAATACCCCGGCGGCGTCGCAGTGGCCGGCGAGGTGGCCTCGGGAAGGTCAGCCCCTGATCAATACGGCCGCCATGCAGGGGGAGGGCCCCGCTGGGTGAAGCTGGGCTGCCTGGCAACGGCCTCCATGGGGTCTCCATGCGCTGAGGTGCACACCCCGAGGGGCGATGCACGCCGCGGGAAGTTGGTGGCGGCATGGTCAATACCGCAACGGGGTGGCTTTCGGCGAAAAGCAATACAAGTTGAAACGCTGAGTGGGGCAGACAGACGAGCATTCAGAGTCACTTATCTGCAGACTTTGTACGAAAGTCCCATAATAAATGGTGACCATCTCACGTCTCCCCTTCCAGAGGGCTGATCAGCCAGGGAGAGTGTCGTCTCCGGCACAGCTGGGAGGTCGTGCTGCACTTCGGCAGTGGAGCAAAGCCAGCTGAGCCGCTCAGACCGCCCATAAGGCAGGAGTCGATCCCCACAGCCCGGCTCAGATCACGTCACGAGGTGCGCACGTCGAGGTCACCCGGCTCAGCCGCGGCCCGCCGGCCACAGCAGCCGGCAGGCGGAGTCGACTCGAGCACGTCCGGCCGAAGCAGCCGGCACGCGGAGTCGACTCGGGCGCGTCCGGCCGGAGCAGCCGGCAGGCGGAGTCGACTCGGGCGCGTCCGGCCGGAGCAGCCGGCAGGCGGAGTCGACTCGGGCGCGTCCGGCCGGAGCAGCCGGCAGGCGGAGTCGACTCGGGCGCGTCCGGCATACGCCGCCGCACGCAACCAGGCGGACGGACGGGCAGACGGCCGCGGCGCCATGCTGCCAGCAGCCGCGCCCGGCGCGCCGGCGCCGTCAGCACCGCCCCCCTTCCACGGGCCTCCTCCGCAGCGGTCGGCGTCTGTACACAATGACGTCATCCTCCCACAGGCTGGGAGGCGGCCGGCCAGCCGGCGTCGGAGCCCGAGCCGAGCACATCAGTCCACAGAGCGCCCACTCGGCCGCCTCCTCTCGGCGCCGCCGCCGTCTCCTCCAGCGCCGCCGGCGGCGGCGGCGCGGCGCCGAGCTCGCCGCCTCAGCTCGGAATTGGTGTGCAAACATGGCAGGCGGGCGGCGCGGCCTTCGCGGCGGCCCGGCCTTCTGGGAAAGTCTCGGCCGGATCGGTCACGGCCGGCCGGCTGCCAGCGCCGCCGAGCTCTCGCTCTCCTCTCTCCCTCCCTCTCGCTGCGACTTCCGCTCGCCAGATGGACCCACGCCCGGAGTCGAGAGGCGGCTGTAAGCTGACGTCGCTGGTCCCGGTGGAAGAGAAGACGCGGAGGGGCTTGAGTGCACAGGAAAGCGTCGAATCGGCCCACACGTTTAAACCCGCACTGGAGTTGCCTTTTCATCCCACGCAGTGTTCTGAGCTGCGTCACTGGAGGAAAGCCCTGCGTCTAACAACGAACCACGCCAGAGGACTTTCAATCCCAAGCATTACCGGATGGCTCAGAAATGACCAGTGTCCATCAAATCGTGCAACAAACCTACAACTCCACCGTATCGGGGCCGTGCCCTACGTCCCGCCGTCGCTACTACGCCGCCGTCCCCCCCCCCCCCCAAATTCGCCGGCGCGTGACCTCAAGGCCACACACACGGGTTCTGCGCCACGCCGGGAGCCAGGGACCGTCGCTGCCAGCCCGGACGGTTTGTTATGAACCAGCCACGCGCGCAAGGACGCGAGGACGCCCATACACAGCACAGCGTAGTGACTGGCGGCTGCCCGTGCTGCTCTGGAGGCGGGCGTCCACCAGTGCATGGGTCAGGCCCAGCTGACGGGGAGAGGGGAGCGAAGGAGATCAGAGAACTCATCGAAGACACTACCTCAACAAACGTTCCCGCCACGAAACGCTTACCAAACATTCAGCGTCATATAGCCGTTTACTTATAACTGGCTCCGGCTCCGTGCTCCCGCTGCTCACCCTCGGCCCGCTCACCACTCACCCGGCCGGAGGTACACGAGCCTCAGCCCCCTCGCCCGGGGCGCCGCCCCGCCCCCGCTCCCCGCCCGCACGCTGGCGGCGCACACTCACGTCTGGACGATGTACGTGGTCGGCATCTCTCCGGCGGCGGCGGTGACCTGCGTGTGACCCGGGGGCGGCGCCGGCACGTCGAACTCCTCTGGCGTCGGCACGTCGGCCGGGTCGGGCGCCGGCACCGGCAGCGGCTTCTTGCTCTCGAAGTAGGTGACCCGCACACGGGAGGCAGCCCGCTCAGCCGCGCTGGGCTCCGCTCTGCAACGGCCAGGTCAGGGTCACACGAGGTCACGCCAGAGCAGAGGTCACAACAGGTCACACCAGAGCAGGGGTCACGCGAGGTCACACCGAAGCAGAGGTCGGTAGAGACGCATCCGTGTACAAAAACTTGGTCGCGTACAGACAATGCTATCGCGTCATATTTCTTGACGGGGCGACGGAAGTTACACGAGGTCGCACCAGATCACAGAGTTTGCTGAGGGTGTCCTGTATGGAGAAGCTTCACCTGTTTGTGTACAGACAGGGCCGCTGTGCCATATTTCACGGCAGGGAAACAATGATCAAGCTGGATCATTTAGAACGTAGCCTGTCGTAAGTCTGTACGTGTGGTCATAAGAGGTCGTAAGGGTTATGTCACCTCCCTAACGGCTCATCGCGGCAGAATCAACGCCTGTGGCATTTCCAACGCGGCAAGGCGAGACACTTCCCCTCCCTCCGACAAAGATTAAACTGCAAAACATCAACCTCATATTTCCGATCGTAAACAAGTCATTCGAGTCACCGACACGTGATGAATGGCCTGTTTTACAGTCAAGTGGTTTAAAAAACCGCGCTAGTGGGTAGTCTTAAAGCAATCTGATCTCCACACAAGCATAACCGCGCGAATGATTGCGTCACAATAGCGCGAAAACATCGTGGAATTCGCCTGCGCAATGCGCCAAACCGCATTCGATATCCGGTTTCCTCCTTCGACGGCTGTTTCGAAATCGATGAGGCAGGTGGGGTCGCACGCAATATCACCAATGCGGCGAGCAAAGGCGCCCGTCGTGCTTTACGGCGGGCGGCCGCGACGTAATGAATAACAGCCAGCAGCGATTCACGGCCACACGTTCCGAGAAAAATTCCCAGGGCGGCCGAACGGCGGCGGCGGCGATGCGCCGACCCAGTTTTGCATTAATAATAACGGGCGGCCAAGATGGCTGCCGCCAAAGGTCGATACGGGTGGCTCGTTCCAGGCGGAGTTTCGGCCTGGTTGAGCAGCAGCCGTCGGCGCTTGACGTCGTCAAACAGTAGCCGGGTGTTCTTTCCATTTGGCTCGTATCGGAAAGGTGCAGGGTTCGATCCCTGCCAGGGACGCGCTGGGACGCACCCGTTTTTGTGATTGTGATGAATGACATTGTGTGACTGGGGGCTGCCGCTTCGTCAAAAGCCGGCTACGTACCCCGCGGCGCTGAGGTACCCTCCTCGCACCGGACATAGCTGCGTCAGAAATAGGTCCACCCTAGAGGAACACAGGAGCGTTGCTGACGCTCCGGCCTACCAAAGCGGTCAACAAGTGACCATTTTACCTGGTTAACCTCAAGCCGAGCTATGAGTGCCCGGTACCGGGCGCAAGAAAATCGCAAAAACAGCCGTTTCATTGTTTTATAACGTGTCACCAGCGCATCCAGGTTTTCCGATCGATCTGTTCTCAGACTCAGACTAAGACTCAGACATCTCCGCCGGAGGCTCGTCTCCCGTGTCACACCGCGCCGCTCCGCCCTCCGCCACCGGCCGAGGCCAATCAGCGTCCCGAGCGCCGCCCCTGCGCCCTCCGATGACGCCATTAGCCGCCGCCGGCGCGCCGATGACGGACCGATGCCTCGCCGGGTCGTCGGAGACCGGCGCCGGCCGGTGCCCGACCGGAGGACGGTCGGCGGCCGCGGCTCGCGGAGCCCAGGAGGCGAGACGAGAGCGGAGGTGCGGCGACGGGGCGCCGAAATGGCCAACGAGAGCCTCACGCGCGAGTGCTTTGAATCGAGTGCGTCTGAGCGTGTGGGGGAAGCCGCGGCTCGTGGTTGAAGGGCACCGAATTCGGCGTCGCGGTTGGGAAGCTGTGGGCGAGTCTGAATGGGGTTGAGGCGCGTCTCGCATTGGTGGCTGCGGGGCTACTGCTCACGTTTTCAGGCTGGTTTACCGCAGGGCATTTACAGCTCACATGCCTGCGTACTGAAGTAACGAGGTGAGGAGAAGCGGATTCAGGGGAGTGTTTATTATCGTGCGACACCCACTCATAAACATCCGTTACGGGCCGTAAAGGCCAAAAATATCCCAAAACCTCGTTAGAGGAGACATAAATCTAGATCACGCAGCACCAGAACACAAAGACGCAACACCCCACTAAATCTGCTGGTAACCAGATGAAGGTCATCCTAAGTCAGCACGGACTAAAACCTGGAATCTCTCCCACAACACCGCATTTCAGGACCGGAAATACGACACCGCCTCTCACGCTCCCCAGAGCAGGTGCACGTCTCCAGCATCCTGCGCTCAGCGCCCATCAAATACGCGCGTAATTCCGCGGGTCCCCTGCGGCGCCCTCCTCACCCTCTCAACGGGCGCTCCTCTCAGCGACCGCTGTCTTGACGCCGCCGCGTCCGCCTATGCCGACGCGGGGCCAGACCGGGCGGCGACGGCCCTAATGACCTGTGACGGCCCCTCCCAGACCTGCAGCTGGGCCGCCCGCCGCGTCGAGGCTGGCGGGTCACGGGTCAATCACCCCCGGCGCCGCCGGCGGTGGCGGGCGGCCGCTTTGATGACAGTCTCGCCGCCTGCGGACATCTCCACATTTTGGTGGCGGGTGATCATGAATGACCGGACGTGACCTGGGCGGTGGGCGGTCGAGGTACCGGCGCGCGCCGGGATGGGTCGCGTGACTTCCGGTGGCCGCGTACCCGTCCCCGGGCGGGGGCAGAGGCGCGGCAGACTGATAGATCGTCTGTCCTCTCACCTGAGGTCATACATTATGCATGCCGGTCGCCAGCAGCCAGGCAGACGGACGCCCTACCGCCAACGGAAGCGCGGCGGGGCGTAGCGGGGCGGATATTGGAGGGAGCTATTCCTGCCCGCATCACGGCCCGCCGAGCCAGATTTAATTGCTTTGCATTGATTATCCATAGAGTCGGGTCATCGAGGGACGACGCTGGGCAGCTGCGGCGGATCAGATAGCGTCGTGGCTTGACGTCTCTCGCTGCATGTTGATGCCGTCTGTGTAACGTTGAGATCATCATAACTCCCAGACCCAATATTTGGCGGTTGACACGTGACATGAATACTGAACAGCCTCTTTCCCGTTCGGACACCGCCGCCCACCTGGGACCGACAGTCAGCCCGAGGCAGCGCCGGCCGACCGCGGCGGGACGGCTGCGAGCCGAACATGACCCCGAGTCCGCCCCTCAGCCGACCCGGCGACCGCCGCGCCGGCGGCAGTCGCCGGTCGCCGACAAACCTCCGCCGGTCACAGGCTCGTGCGCCGCATAACGGCAACGGGCGCAGCACGCGCGACACGACCGCAAGCGGCCGGCCCGCGCCCGGCGCCGAGGCGTCGCACCACCACGGCCGGCGCCACACGCTGCGACGCCCGCCCGGGTCAGACGGGCCCGCCGCGCGCGCCGCGTCACCCCGACCCCCCGGCCGCCGCGGGCACTCATCGGTGACGCGCCGGCCGGCGTGTGTAGATCAGGCGCTGATCCTGGCAGGCGTGCCGCTGGCGCCGGCCGTATTTCTGGCCGGCCGGCCGGCGGCGAGCCCAGCCCTGAGTGACACACCTCACTGTGTACCAGCGGGGCCGCCAGCGGGCGGCGGGCCGTCCCCGCTCCGGTGCTCTCGGCGGCAGATTGGGCCGGCTGATGAGATGAGCCACCGGCGACGGCGCGGCTCGGCGCACGCCACCGTCAGATCGGGCCCCGGCGGGAGGCGGCACCGGCGGCGGCGCGGTCGTCCATGCGGGAAGCTCCTCCCTCACAGCGGGAGTAGCGGGGAGGGTGGGAAGAGCGCAGCGCCAGAACAAAGGAGGCGTCTCTCTCGGACCGTGGTGGCAAGTCGGCGTGCGGCTCGTTTGGACTTTTTTGAGGGGTTGACGAGGAACGGAAAACAGCACATGTCAGGAGCTTTATGCCAAACACCAAACCACCAAATAAGAACGTATTGGTAAATCGTGGCCCCCAGCTTCGCCTTAACACAAATGGCCGGTCTCAAACATTCCCGAAATGTTACCCGTACAACTAGAAGCAGTAGAAGCAGTAGTAGTGATAGCAGTAGTAGTTTCGTAAAACTGTTTCCCGGTTGCAATCAACCATACCGCCCATGTACCCGACGGCGGCTGGATGGGCCTTTCTGGCCTCCTTCCTGTGCCAATGAAGTCAAAAGATACAGCTGCAGGGCACTCCAACGGGCGGCCAGTATAATCCGGGACTTAAGCATCGATCCCCCACCCGCGCGAACTAGGACAGCAGCACCGGAGGTCCGCCGCGAGGCCTTGGACGGCAGCGGAAGCCCGTGAAGCCCGTCAGGAGGCAAGGGGGGGGGGGGGGGCGATGCCGCAGAGGCACGTTCAGCCCCCCCCCCCCTTCCCCGAGCCGTATTGGAATGGATCGCATACTTCCAGTCTGCACCTATAACGAGAGCCAGAGAGCGAGAGCAAGAGCCAGTCAGGGCGCACTTAACTTTGACGATCGAAACCTGACCTGGCCATCCTGAGCGGAACCCATCTGGCCGATCCCGGACCTGCAGCTCCGCTCGGTGGTGCTCGAGCTGAGCTGATCAACCGGGAACACTGCTTCAGAAGTCCGCCGACAATACTGCGCCAGACGGCCGCCAAGTAGCGACCGTACCGCACGTGCGCCGAGACGCGTCACAACATCGTCACACGTCGGGCGCGACAGCCTGCGCAGTCGGTCCGCCGGCAAAACATGTCCGTCCGAGCGGCGCGACGCGGCCCCGAACGAACGGAAATGAACGGACAGGAACGGAACGGAACGGAACGGAACGGACAGGCGGGCCGGCGCCGCGGAACCGTGCTCGAGTGGCTCGACAAGCGTCGTCCCGCATGTCAGACAGCCCCAATGCCGGTGATTGTGGTTATTGTGACGGATGTTTTTGCGCACTTGAGTGACCGGTCGCGTGACGTCCCGGCCCGGCTGCCAGGCAGCGAGAGACGGCAGGGTACGCCGCGGAGACGTAACGCGACCCGACCGCGGCCGACCCTGCCCGGCCCTCGC